TTGCCGTAGGACTCCAGAGATAATTTCACAACTGAATGGATTGAAGCATTGCTGCTTCTCAGCAGTGAAATTGTTCTTAATGCACAGAAGTGGTAGGCTCCTCAGGCCCTTTTGTCCAAGGCAAATCATTTTCATAACTTATTCCTCGGTGAAGTTGGTAAGCCTCGCCTTCACTGCTTTGGGATGGGGAACAGAGGATAGGGCGTTTCCAGAAATGTCAAGAAATACACACCTCATCTGTCACTCCCTGAAACCCACCTTCCCATAACCTTTTCTACTCGTCTCTTGATTTTAGTCTGTTGCCCAGCTGTAAAGTACTCTTCCTGAATTCCCAAGAAAGTTGTTGGTTACAGGTTGCCTTGACGGATTTTAGATGCAAGGTATTTTTTGTCCTTTTTACTGCTAATTGCACAGGTGATTTCAGAATATGAAGGCAGCTTCTGGTCTGTATTTTGTGGAAAACATGTAACAGGAAAAGCCTTAGGGATTGATTTTTAGGCAGAATTATTTGTCTTATTCCTTTTTTTTTTTTTAAGAGTTTATTTATTCATGAGAGACACACACACACAGAGTAGGGCAGAGACACAGGCAGGAGGAGAAACAGAGGGAGAAGCAGGCTACATGCAGGGAGCCTGATGTGGGACTTGATCCCAGGCCTCCAGAATCACACCCTGGGCTGAAGGCGGCGCTAAACCACTGAGCCACCCGGACTGTCCATTTTGTCTTATTCCTTTAGATGTACTACCCAAGGGGATAATAAGAGACCGCTAGAAAAATAGAGTGCTTGATGGCAATTTGGATTTTCTGGGATCTTCATTTTCCTATCGGAGCAAATGTGCAAGCATCACCCTTTTATAGGATAGTGTTCGTTTTATATCATTCAAGAATTCAGAATTGTAGAAAAGTGAATTATTTCTAAAACAGTTCTAAGGAGAAAAATAGTGATTTTTTTTCTGAGTGAATTAACGTTTGTCACCAGTTATTTTCAGTCTGTGTGGATAGATCATGACCTCCTCCCTGCAGTTTCTGAACCCCTTTCGTGCTATGCTCAGTGTCAGGGGCAGCCTCAGGAATCCACCTGTTAGTACCTGTGAATACCGCAAGGGCGGAGCTACCAGCCAGAGGCTCTCCCCTTGTTCCTCAAAAGGAAACTTTTGGATCCATTTTGCCTCCACATTAATTGGTGTTCCCTATAGCGCCTCATTGGGAGAAATCACACATTTCTTAAACCATGTTATATAATTCATGAAAATGGAGAGAAAGAGAAAGATCTAACAAAACTTAGGAAAAGCTTACTGATCAGCCCTTGCATGGCTTTGTTTTTGTATTATTCTGAATCCATTCACAGATGTTTGAATTTAGAAAGAGAGACCCGTTGAGCCCATGGCTATCATCTGCTTGTTACATGCAGTTACAGTATATTTCTGGAGTGAGGAAAAAAATGTTTTGAAAGGAAATAGGATGTAATTAGCAAGTAGTGGTTTCATTTGCAAGATTTCATGTTATTCTAACTACAAAAAAATTATTGTTGTAGGAATTAGGAATAAACACATAGTCCTTTTATCCTCAGTAACAGAAACTGTCTAATGTACAGAGTGACAAAATACTAATATAAACCATGCTTAATTCATTCTTTTACATTCCATTTCCATTGCCTTTAGTATTGATATTTCATTTCTTCCAAGCCCAGCACAGGGCTTGAACTCACAATCCTGAGATCAGGACCTGAGTTGAGACCAAGAGTTGGACGTTTAGCCAACTGAATCACCCAGGCGCCCCTCAGTATGGATATTTTGACTATCTCAGGTCAAGGAATTTTAATACCTATTTTTCAAAATGTGAGCATCTACCAAGAATTAAATGGAATATAATTTCACAAAATCTCAATTCTAATATTCTTAAAAAGTGAGAAAGCCAACCATCTTTGTAATGGATGCTGAGGAAAATCTGAAATGTGCCCAGAAGCATTAATAATTATTTATATATTTACATATATACATTTATTTTTAAGAACCAATGTGCTATTTAAAAATCCTTACTATGTCTATAATATTTATTCATCCATACTACTTTAATGTGTAGAAATAATGTAGTAAATAAGAACAGACTTGATCTTAAACTCACTTCCCTTTGAAGCAGCTTGTGGTACATTGGAAATCCAGCACTTAGCATAAGGTCTGACATGCAGTTGTTTGCTTAATATATATTTTTTACATGAATGAGCAAAAATAATATAATTAATATATATAATAATATAATGATGTTTTCTAAATTATAAAGGATATTTGAACATTAGGAAAATATATATTTGATCACAAATTATTTTATATTTTGTCAAAGTGGAGAAATATTGCAAAGTGGTAGAAGTGTTAAAATTGAGAGAAGTTAACAAACAATTTTTACTTCAGTATCAACAAATAGTTGAAGGATCTTCACATAAACCAAAAACAAGCTAATTTACAGGTTATTTTATTATGTTACATTGGCAGGCCTAAGAAGTATTTCTTAAGGTATTGAGAGTTTCCTTCGATCTGTTTTGTTACATTTCATTTATTAAACTATTGCATAAAAGTGACCAGTAAAGAGAATTTAATGTTGCTAGTCTGGCAGTTGAAGTTAGCTTTTTTCATTATTTCAATTTATTAACAAAGGGGAATAGGATCTTTTTTTTTTTTTCTCAGCCTCATAGAATGACTCCCTCTTTCCTGCTCTGTTTTATCTCAAAATATTTATAATGTTATATATATACTATTACTTTTTACCCAAAAAAAATGCTATTTTTGTGGAATGACCTATTACTCCCAAATGAACCTTGAGAAACATTTCATTGTTTTACCTTTCTAAAAGATGGACTATGGCTGTGGGATATTAAGCATCTTTAGAGAAGGGGCTAGATGCACACATTAGCATCTTTCACAGAAATGTTATCCAAGGGGGATAAATAGAAAAAAATCAATTGAAAAGAAGGAAAAAGGGGGGAAATAAGAATATAGAAAATCTGAGAGAGCAGCCTGGGTGGCTCAGTGGTTTAGCACCACCTTCGGTCCAGGGCGTGATCCTGGAGTCCTGGGATCAAGTCCAACGTCGGGCTCCCTGCTTGGAGCCTGCTTCTCTCTCTGCCTGTGTCTCTGCCTCTCTATGTCTCTCATGAATAAATAAATAAAATCTTTAAAAAAAGAAAATCTGAGAAAGATAGATAAGATGTAGACTTCCAAAAATTTCAGTAATCACAATGGACTAAATCCTTCAATTAAAAGCCAGTGATGTCAAAAAGGCAGGCACATCTGTGTAAAATGTTCCACCGAAGCTAGATCTCAGAGAATTCTGCCATTCTAGACAGCCAGGATATACAATTCTAGAAAATACAATCTTATGTAGAATGATAGAAATATGATAGTGGTTGCTGGTAGGGGCATTTCATACATAAACATCATTTGTGCTGAGGAAAGATTTAAATGTGAAAGGTAAAACCATAATACTTTGAGAAAGCAGCCTAAGAGAACATCAATGTGATCTCAAAATAGAGAAGGTTTCTTAAGACACAGAAAACATAGAAGAAAGTGATAAATTCAGTTATGTTCAAATGTAAAGCTTGTTTCTCAAAAAAACAAAACAAAACACCCCCACAATGAAGGAGGTGCAAAAAATTATTTAATGGCCCATATAATTGACAAAGAATGAGTATCTCTGTGGAACTTCCATGACTCAATAAAAAATGACAACCCAGTAGGAAAACGGGCAAAAAGATACAGAGAAGCATATCACATTTAGAGGGTCGCACATAACCAATAAACACAAAAAGACTCAACCTTGGGGCACCTGAGTGGCTTAGTCCACTAAGTGTCTGCCTTTGGCTCAGGTCATGATCCCAGGGTCCTGGGATCAAGCCCCATGTTGGGCTCCCTGCTCAGCAGGGAGTCTACTTCTCCCTCCCCCCTTGCCTTCCCCCTACTTGTGTTTTCTCTCTCTCTCTCTCTCTCTCTCTCTCAAATAAATATTTTTTTTAAAAGAGGCTCAAACTCATTCAGAGAAATATGAGTGATAGTCAAACTTAGAGCCCATTTCATGGTCCCTTCCTCCCAGTGAATAAAAAGGCAGTATCAAGTGTTGGCAAAGATATGAAGCAACTAGAACATATTTCTGCTCATAGAGAGTAAACTGGTACAAACACGTTGGGAAACTACTTGGTGTTATCTCCTAAAGTTCAAGGTGTGCCAACTCAAAGTCCTAGGAATTCCATTTACAGATATATCCATCAGAGGAACTCTTGCATTTGGGTACCAAGAGACATGGGCAAGAATGTTCATAGCACCACTGTAGCAGAAAATACAGAGCAGTCCATTTCAGCAGCATTAGAGAAATTAGATAAATTTAGATAAATCGTATCTACATTAGATAATGTAGATAAATCTACAGTGGAATACTCTGTAGCAGCAGAAAAGAATGACTTCCAGCAACAAGGAAGAATCTTAGGAACAAAATGTAAGGGAAAAAGCTTCCAAAAAGTTACAGAAGAATACATGCAATGTGATTTAGTCTTTAGGGATACAAATAAAAATAAAACTCTTAACGGGAATAATAAGTACAAAATCCAGGAGTGGTTACTTTGTTGGAGGAAAGAAATGGGATGGGAAAAATGAGTCTATTACACTGGGAAGTTCAAAAGTACAGTGTTCTTGTTCTGTGATGCATGTTTGTATCTTTGTTTATAGCTTACATTTATTTTATGATACTTTACATTTATCCATTTTATAATTTGAACCTATATGATAAATAATAAAGTTAATTACTTTTAAAGTAAGTGCAAATGGCAGAATTTAGCATATGACAACGGGATACGTGTTCTTGTACACCTGTAGGAAAACTATGCTTGTTTGGAAAAATGGTAAATCATGAGTTCCATCCCATTACTTCTGTTTATGATTTAAATTTCCTTTGGCTAAAGGTTTTCCTTCTTTCCCACCCCCACCCACCCTGCTCTGCTGCTCCTCAATTTTTAGGAGAGATTTGAAGCACTTTTCACTGTCTACGATGACCAGGTGACGTTTCAGTTGTTTAAAAGCTTTAGAAGAGTCAGAATAAATTTCAGCAAACCAGAAGCAGCAGCAAGAGCACGAATAGAACTCAACGAAACAGACTTCAATGGAAAGAAGCTGAAGCTGTATTTTGCACAGGTACTTCATGATGCATCCTCTCAGAAGGAAACTTCTTTTCCTCCATCCCAAAATACGGTCACTTCTCCATTTTCTTGGGTATTATATCAGGATTCTTTAAAGTAAACAATCTCAATCAGCAAGTAATGTAAAAATATTTTTCTTTATTTTACAGACATATAAATACTTCCTAAGCATATTTGCCCTCCTAATTTTGTTTTGCTCATGATAATAGTTAAAGGAATTCATCTTTCTGGCAATTTTTCTCAGCTGGGGTTCCATAAGGGTTAAGCCCTAACCTCCTAAGACCAGTGAATTGACTTTTCTCCTGTGTGTCTAGAATGGCACTCGACTGTGACATCCTTGGGAGAGTTGGAAAATAGTCGCTGAAGTCTTTTCTGTGTTCTGTGATTCATGAGACATGCCCATGAAAATAGCTGCCAGCCTAGATCTGACCAGGGAGGTGGTGTAGCGCTGCAGACAGGCTGACTCAGGCTCTGCAATTGCGGAGCAGCCTGTAGGTTACCAAGAATTGGCTATGCTTGCTAGGACTCTCAAACGAGTTTCTTCTCTGAAGAATTGATGATGTAGAGGCATGAGACCTCTACTCAGTTATTAGGAGTGGTGTTTTTATCTTCAACAAAGTGTTTTGGTCTTAGCTTTCAAACTGAAAAAAAAAAAAGTTGTCTCATGATCCAAATGAAAATGTAAATGAATGTTGTCAGAATCTTTCTTGGTGAAGCTGCTTGAGATGGAGATGATCTAACCTAATCTCTTCTAAAATTGGAATTCAGAAAAATAGATAAAATTGAAATTCAGGTTTATTACCATTCATTGTTCATTCATCTATTTATCAATTTACGTTTTCATTCAGCTGCCGTTTACTGAGCACCTGGTGCATGCAGACACTGTGCTGTGTACTGCACACTTGGTGGTAAACCACACAGACCCAGACCCAGCCCCTGGGAGACGCAGGCTGCTGAGGAGAAATCTTTCATTTTCTCCAAAGAGGTGTAACAGTTAGCCTAAAGAGGAAAATGAAGAAACAGCTCAGTCACACACTGGTTTTGAGCACCTCCTTGCCCACAGGTACAGATGTCCAGTGAAACACGGGACAAGTCGTATTTACTGCCGCCCCAGCCAGTCAAACAATTCCTCATCTCCCCACCTGCATCGCCCCCGGTGGGGTGGAAGCAGGGGGAAGACGCGATGCCTGTTATAAACTACGACTTACTCTGTGCAGTCTCCAAACTGGGACCAGGTAACAAGCTCATATTTCCTATTCCCACCCCCAAGAAACTTTTCTACTAAAGACCATATTCAGAGATTTGGATTCTAGCCAACCAGTGGCAACATGATCAGAGTGGAAGATACAGCCACACAAACCTGGGTTCAGACTCTAGGGTTTGCTAACTTTGTGATTTTTTTTTTAAGAATTTATTTTTTTTTTTAAGTCATCTCTATGCCCGGTGTGGGGCTCAAACCCACAACCCTGAGACCAAGAATCGCAGGTTCCGCAGACTGAGCCAGCCAGGCCCCCTGCTAACTTAGTGATTTTGAGCAAGTTACTTAGCTTCAGTTTCTGAGCTCATTTTCTCATCTAAGATAGCAGTCATGGTAGCTACCTTTCAGTGTGCTTAATAAGGATTAAGTGATATATATATACATGATACTCAACAAATGTAACCACAATTTTAACTGCTACAGGCTCTACTAATATATAACAGCTGTTAGCGAATGTTAGTTACCTTCTCCCCCATCCCAATAAAGTACCAGACAGACTTCTACGTTGAATACTTCTATCAAGGAATTGGTGGCAATACTATATTATTCCTTCCAAATTCTTCTCTTATAGTTATTTTTTACTTCTTTTTTATCTTTGATTTCTTTCATCCCTTTAAAATACTATAGGAAATCGGTGTCATTGCTGTTTCAGACTAGTTGCCCCTATAATAATGTTATGTTGGGAAGGGACTATCTTATAAAGGGAGTCTACAAGAGGTATTTTGAGGGGGAAGTGGCTTGTTGCTTTTAAACATTAGAGCAATGTCATGGATGTGTGAGGTCCTATAATAAAGAGATTGCTGCCTGGAGCCTTATAAATGTCTCCCAAGGGAAAACTGAAACCATCCTGAAATTAAGCAAGTTTACTTATACTGTCCATAGAACAGTAATTAACATTTCCATTTTAACTCCCGAGACCTCAGTACTCCTCACTAGCTAATTTCTTCAAAGGACAAAATTATATAAGAACCTTAAAGTATCAGATCTCTAATGCCAAAACAAGATCAAATGCTCTGACATAGGATTTAAAAACCAGTAATCAATTAAAATATGAATAGAACAAGAAGTTTCAAGAGACAAATTCCTCTTTCTGCTGCTTACCTCCCCAGGAGAGAAATACGAGCTCCATGCAGGAACAGAGTCAACGCCAAGTGTGGTGGTTCATGTCTGTGAAAGTGAAACTGAAGAGGAAGAAGAAACAAAAAACCCCAAACAGAAAATTACCCAGACGAGGCGCCCCGAACCTCCAGCCGCAGCACTGAGTGAGCCCCAGAACTTTGATGGGGCGCTGTGAAGCCTCTGGGGAGGGTGTGAGGCAGCTGCCCTCCTGGGCTCAGCACCAGAGGCCTGTGCTCCTCCGGTGCCCTGCTGCTCAACGTGTGTATAGGTGAGGCTGGGGGTATGTGAATAGGTGAGGCAAGGTGTTGCCACTGCCCCGGCACTGGATCACAGCAGAGAGTAGCAGCTGATTTTACCTGTTCAAAATTTTAACAGATATCCTGAACAGCACTTTAAATGAAAGGATTAGCCACCAACATGTCGCATCTCTTGACCATTTTTAAGCAGTAGCAAATTAGGAAATTTGTCTGATTCCTGGCTCCCTCCAGCAGTGTTAATTTCCCCAATTCCATATAGCATGGGCTACCCAAAAACGAAAGCTGTAGTCAACGAGTGCAGTACCATTTTTATGAATTTGAAAATAGTCTTAAAATTCTAATAATCGAATGTGGGTATTTTGTAATGGTGTAATAGCTTCCTACTAATCTATCTACTGATCAAAGGTTGTTATTCAATACACATGAAATTTTTTGCACAAAAAGAGATCTGAAATACAGAATAATTCATAGAGAGTCATTTTTCTCAAGTAGTTCTTTTCTTTAGCCTTAGAGAGGAAATGCCAAATTCACTTTGATTCCTGGAATCAAGTGGGTTACATTGGTGTACATGTTACTCTCTTCCCTGTTACCCTTACTTGAGAGAGGAAGATGATGCACAGACCACTGTCCCGAATGCGTCATCCCTCCCAGGGAACTGCTACTTTGGAAGCGGGACATACCACCAGTGAGTTTAGCTAATCACGACCTCAGGTGGTGACCACAGTCTGCCATCTGTGACCACGTGCTAGCCCACAGCATATCCAACTGTCCTCGGTCACCCGTTGAGTTTTTTAATGTTATACATATTGTGCGTGTGTCATTCAGAGACTGTAAATTAGAAAAGGTAATGACAAGATTGTCTGAAGACCATTTTTTAATTGTATAGATACTTTCCAGTTTGCTTTGAAAGAAAAGGCACACATAATCTTTTTCTGTGAATCAAGGAAGGACGGGAGGAAATCAAGATCATTCAGTTAGTGAGACTTTGTTTTTGGTGCAGTATTTTATCCTGGCTGACACTTGGCATTTTCCCCTAAAACAGAATTGTTTCTTACTTGTGTTTCAGAGTGGGTAGTTGAAGCTCCTAACACAGAAACGAGCATCTTTTTAACTTTGTGTGGTCTGTGCAGATTCTGCTGTCCCTTTACAGAAAAGTCCTGTAACTAAGAAAACTTTGCTCTGGTCAGGTGGCTCTGCTGATCTCTGTTCTCTGATCTCACATCTGGAGCTCCCTGGTATGTGCGTGAAGGGGCTGCATACAGGAGTTTGGGTTGGTAAACCGCTGTGGCTGCCACTACACAGAGAGAAGAATGCAGAAATTCACACCATGGTGTCCGCACATTCTTGGTAGCATGTTTAGAGGTTCTTACTATGGTAGGATTTATTTCTGAGGACTTAAACCATATTGCCAAAAAAAAAAAAAAAAAGAAAGTTTTCTATTTTTTTTCTGTTTTTCCTTGCCCTCAAATACTTGAAATGTTAAGCTCTCCTATTTGTGTATGTCCACCACTGTTCAGCCTCAATATAAATTCAGTTGAGATGTGTCATTCCATAAGCAGTTTATTATTTTTTTTAAGATTTTATTTATTTATTCATGAGAGAGAGAGAGAGAGAGAGAGAGAAGCAGAGACATAGGCAGAGGGAGAAGCAGGCTCCCTATGGGGAGCCTGACATGGGACTCGATCTCAAGATCCTGGGATCACAACCTGAGCCAAAGGCAGACGCCCAACCACTGAGCCAACCAGGCATTCCCCCATAAGCAGTTTCTTAAATTCAGATCATCGTTCGGCACCCAGTTAATAAATTTACTTTGCATTCTAAATTCACCATTTAGCCAGTGTTTTATCTGTTATACCAACTTGTCATTTGCAGAATGGACCCTGTATGTCAGGAAATATATGTTTTTTCAACAGTGGGGGATTTTAAAATTTCCTTTTAGGTAATATCTGTTAGCTATAATTTTCTAAATGATCAAAATCCATGATGTTTTATTATTTGGCTTAGCTTTCGTGGTCTTCCTTCCAATTAAAGAATAGTCTATCCCAAACTCACATAACCTGTTTCTAAAGTCAAGCAGTGCAGATTATCTCAAAATTTCTTTTTCTCTGTCCTTATTTTTTTTAGAGTATTGAATTGAAGAAAAGCTTAAACCAAAATATATATGTTAAAAAATTATGTACTAAATACAAAATATTTATTATTTAATATATACATATATTAAATTTTTCTGAATGGAGAACATTAATATTTTAATTCTTTCTAGTATAATATTTCCATAAGTTGAACTCTAAAAGAAAAAATTAACTTTTAAATGTGGTGAAATCAACCAGTATCTCAAATATTATGGTCTCTGTCCTTTTTTGACTTTTTCATATCCAGCTCACGTAACCATCTTGTAAGAGATGAGTCTCATGTACTTTTTTAAAGTTCCTTCTAATAAGTTTAGTTGCATTTGTCTTTTTGGAAACTGAGTTATTGCTTAGATTTAACTCTGATAGTGTAGTAGCCATGTTCTCTTTAGAAATCATAATTTCATCTCAGGAATCAAATTATTTAGAGCATTGTGAGGAAAGAAAATGATGCTTTGTATTACGGAAAAAGCATTTGTGAAGAGTAAGAAAATCCTAGCACTTAGTAAGGATAGTCAACAAAACCTGCAGTGTGGCAGTGCATTGGCTCCTACGTTCTAGGTTCTTGTGAAATACCTACCTGATGAAACTGGAAATTAACCCATTTAAAAAGTGCACTAGTGTGAGCATCAACTAGTTGAAGGTGCTAAGAAACAGAATCAGTAAAATCAGTTCCCTTGTCTTGGGGACCTGAGCATCAGGGGGAGAGCAAACTCATCTTCTTTGTTTTGCTTCTTCGTACTTTATACACTAAACCTATCCACAGATTTGAGAGCACAGGAAGTTTTAAGTTCAACATAAAGGCTTAAATAGAACATGGTGTGTCCAAATCAGAGCTGCCAGGAGACAGCAGGAACAGCACCGTCCTTCTTTGAGAATACAGTCATTTTGTTTCCCACTCACAGGGACTCCATCTCTTAATGTTATGATAGAAAGTGGAGATTAGATTTCCTCAGAATCTCAGCCATACTGCCCACGGTGACTCTAGAAATGACATAATCCACTCCTCATGTGACACAGATGAGAAAACAGAGATGAACATCTTATTATGAGGACCACAGGGACTGGGTTGGCATTCCCAAATCCCACAGGAGGGCTTTTGCTCCTTTCTTCTTGCATTGGCCTCTCAGAAGCAGTGAATCCCTGTCATAAGAAAATAGAAAAAAAAAAAAAGGAAAAAAATTCTATCTCCCCTGAAAGGATACAGTGAATAAGGAATATCCAGTGAAGGCAGTGACTTAGTAACTTCATGAATGAAACCAATGTTCCATGTTTTGATGTTTTTATTATCATTGTACTGTTGGGATTGGAATCTACTTAAATAATGTTATTTTGGTAGCCAGCAATTGTGCTGACATTTTATGTGGGCTTTCCTAGATTTTAGTAGTAATGAGATTAAATTATATATAGTCGTACTTGAAATGTGATTCTAATGACGCAACTTGAGATCTCATAGGACTTGGACATAGTTTGCAGTGCAAGGACACTGGCACTCGGCGCTCATAAAATGGAGCTCTGTTAAAAATTAAAGACTCACCGATACTTCATGTTTTTATATAGACTCTTTTACAGACCACAGTTTTGTTTTTAAAAGGGAAGATCTCAGACATAATTAAACAGTGGAAAATGTATGAAATTCTTTGGTGCATCAAAGTTCCTTGTCTGCTGGTATCTCTCTTTTCTTGGGAGTTGTATACTTTCATACCTGTTACGCAGGTGAACTTGGTCAACCTTTCTCTCACTGTGCTCCTCTTTTACACACCTGCATGTATATCCTTCTGTACAAAAGGAAACATGTGACTTATAAATGTGACAATAAAAAGGAACAAAAGATGAGGGAATTAGTTGCCTCCTAGCTAGGGTGGGAAGTCCATTGTTACAGAAGCTCACTTTTTAGAAGGTTAAATAAATTTAAAGAATAAGGTTTATGGACTGTTTTCCAGAATTTGATAAATGCATTTGTTTTATAACGTCCCCTTGAGGTGTGAGTCAGCCAGGTCATCTTCACTGGAATGCCATTGTTGTCTCTATCCAGGAATCAGGAGGAAATGTTAATAATTTGAAGAGCATTGTTATTAATACCAAATACACAGGCAACAAAGCAACAGAAAATTGTAACAACTGCGATGTTTTACTGACCAAAAACATTATAAAAATGGTTATGTTCAAAATAGAAGTTTCCAGCCAAGGTTAAGAGGTACTAACATTGAGTTGAGTCAGTGTCTCCTTCCATGTAAACAAAAGCATAAGGACCTTCTTTGAACTTAGGCATGTGTGGTCTCTCTTGTAAACTGTTTCCTTTTGAAGCAAAATCATGTCCTACAGACTCTTGGGAGTTCCTGCATAGCATTGACTGAATGTTCATTCTTGTCATCTGGGAGGTCTATATCTATGCAGATAATACATGTTTTTCTATATTGTTTTCTATTTAGTCCCCAGTCTTCCTAAACCAGACTGGAGACTGAGGAGAGATAAAGGTGGCTAATCCTGTCACTGTGCCATCTTCTTCCCGCTGCTTCTCAGCCCCCCGAGATAGGGGCCCCAGAGAGGAGCCATCTACGTTTCTGCTGTATCATGCATGTCCTCCAGCTTTGACTTCTGTCTTCATTGAACCCAGGAGGTGAATTTATTATTTTATCTGAACATGTTGGTGATCTTGTGTTACATTCTGGGGGACATTACTTTTCTGGTACTATAAATTGTAGGGAATATTCATTGTGCTTTGAAAACCTGGTCAGTAATTTATATATATGTATTCTGTATTTTCGTGTGCTTGATGTGACAATTCATAGTTTATAGTAGTTTGTTATTGTCAACTTTGGCTATCCTGTATTTTTAGGACATTTAAATGTCCATTGTCCACTCAAAGTGACAAAAGCAGAATGTAATTTTTTTGGAATCCTTGTGATTACTTGTAACAAGATTGTTTTTAAAGCTAATAAAAATAAAGTTAGGATTTTTTTAAAAAATTTGCCCACTGAATGGAGTTTTTTGTAGTATTTTCAATAAATGTCATTTATATTTAGGCAGTAGCACAAAAAAGAATAGTGAAATAGTTTTCTCCTTTAACTAGATAGCAGTTGAACATTAATACTGAGCTGCACCAGAGCTAAAAGTGGCGACTCACTGCCAGCTCTGGAAAATAACCACGATGGTTTGAGTTCTTTATCGAGAAAAGTTTTTACCCTGGCTTATCCTCTGTTAAAAATGATTCATTCCAGGTAAAGGCTTATTTTCTGTCTTGGTTTTAAAAAAAATCTCCACATCCAAATGTCGAAGCTAAAAATGACTGTAAGGTTATCTAGTGTGGTGATTTTTAAAATATATACTTATTTTTAAGCCAAAGAACTCTATTCTTCTTTCAAATGAAACCTTACATAAAGTTTAATGTAAAACTAATTACCAACAAAAAGGTAAACAACTGCTCCTTTGAAGGGGGTGAGGGAGAAGTTGGGACCCAAGGGTATCCCCCAACGCCTAGCCCTGTGAAAACTCAGCAGAACAGTTCCAAACACCAGACTATCCAGTGGCTTCCACAGCCCCACACAAGCCTTCACAAGTAAACAGCCCAAGAGGCATCACCAGATTCATACACCTGGATGGTAGCTAACCGGGAGCTAGAAACATAATGGTTTCCTGCCTCCATCTCAGGTGACCATGCTCCACTACTTGGTTAAATGAAAATCTTCCATTTTTCAGGAGAAAAGTAGTAGGATTCAAAGGTTTTTAGAATTGTCAGTGTTTTGTTTCAAAAAACTAAAGGAGAGTAACCAGGGACTTTGGTCCTTTAATAGGCTTTTCCAAGCTGTGTTCCTTGGCACTGCCTCCAGGGGGAACTGGACTCCCAGGTCCCCGGGGCCTTGTACCCAGCTTCAAGTCCATTGGATTCCTCGTGCAGAACAGTCTTGGCATGAGATTGCACTTGAGCTGAGGACTCCTATGCTGAAACAGCAAGCTGTAGAACCACTGCAAATAACCTAAGGATAAAGTGATTTTTTAAATGCAGAATAGAAAATACAAGAATAAAAGTTTAAGTAATTTGCCTCATTAAAATAGACTGACTTAAAAGTTAAATTCAACAGTATATGTGTCAGAGTCCAATAATCACCAAGACACATGTTAAACTAGATAGCAGGAGTGAGCAGAAATTCTCTCTGCTTTCTTTGAACACATCACAGTATCGTTCTAATCTAGAATGAGAAAGGATTAAAATTCTTATACTCATGGGCAACATCTCAAATCTTGCCAAAGTTTTCCTAGTCTTCTGAGACATAGAAGTTATAAATATAAGTAATTTGTAGATTAGGTATTTAGATGGTAATGTTATTTGGGAAAAACTTGTGGTCGAAATGTTTGGAAAAGTTGAACAGTTTCTGTATTGCTGTGTTTCTGGGACCTTTTTAATTTGTGCATTCTCTGTCTCCAAAAGGATATACCGTGTTTATCAAATCTAATAAGATATGGAGCCCTTTTGCCCAGAAGCATCTCATTCCACTGCTGCTCAAGGAACATTTAAAGAAACATTCTACTAAAATCTTGAGGCCTGATTAAAGGATAGCTTTGTGAATTAAAAACTCTTTATTAATTTCTCAACTCTTTGAGATTGGGCATCAGAAGGAGCCTTCCTGATTTTTGAATGGGAAAACCAAGTTGACAAAACTATTAGAATCTATAAAAGCTTAGCAAAGTTGCCAAATACAAGACTAACTTAGAAAAAGCAGTAGCATCTTCTTATACCATCAATGACCAAAATATAAGCTATTGCTTATATAAGCCAACACTCATAATTGCATCAAAACATCAGCATAAACAAACTTTCAAACTGTAATAAGGACTTGGATAATTTAAGTACATGCTTTTAAATGGGATAACTTCATATTTTAGGAATGTCAAATTTTCCCAAAATTATAAATGCAATGGAATCTTTGTCAAAATCCCAGCTATATTTTTTACACTTAGACTCATTAAACTTATCCTCCAAACTTGGAGGAAAGAATAAACAAACAAGTAGTTAAGAAAACCTTAAAAAGAAAAAACATGGAAGACTTGTCCTACCAAAAACTAAGACAACCTACAAACTCACATGAGTTCAATGTAAGAAAAGTCAAAAATTTTTAAAAAGAGTAGAGACCAACCCAGGTCTATAAGAGAATATACGATAAAAAGCCATCATAAATAAATAGAGAAAGGCTACACTGTCTAACCTATGGTGTTGGGGAAATGGGCTTGGTATACGTAGGTCAATAAAACTTGGGTTTCCCGTCAAACACTAAATAGAGAGATGGACTGACTCCTGGATGGATTAAAGACTGGAATGTATAGAGTTAATAGAATGAGTTGTAGGAGAATATCTTTTGACCTAGAAGAAGGGAAAGACTTTATAAAACTTTAAAAGCATAAGCTATAAGGTAATTGATTACATCGAAATTAATGATACAGTCAATGAAGAATGCCATGGACAATGTTGACAGACAACAGGCAGAAGATATTTCAATCCTAATATGAGGTAAGTAACCATAATATACAAGGTAGTTTGGCAAATCCAAAGGAAAAGCAGCCCAATTTAAAAAAATGGGTTTAAGGATATGAATAGCAATCAACAAAAAAGTAAAGCGAGCCTGCAAGAGACATTCAAATCCAGTAATCTGATAAGTGTAATTAATGCAACAAGATGCCACTTTATACCTATTGGATTCTCAAAAATGTTAAAAAGTGAATAATGCCCAGTATAGCCAGAGGATGGATATATAGGAAGCCTGATGTAACACAGGTGGGAGTGTAGACTGGTTTAGTAATTCTGAGGAATTATCTGGCAGTACTTAATCCTATCAGTAAGAACAAAATCTCTGACTCAGCAGCTCTGCTCCTGGAATATAGAGAGATCCCAAGAATATCCCAAAGGTATATTCAGGTCCAGTAGAAGACATGATGAGAATGTTCACTGCACCATTATTTACAGAAGCAAGCTGGGGTTCTCTCCTGGGAAATTGACACTGTGGAGAACTGTACGACAGAGTAGCCATAGACTCAGCTACATGGATGGATCTTAAAAATAGACCCGAGTGACAGAAGTAATCAGTGAGATGTGTGTAACACTCACATAAAATACGTAGACAGTAGTGCATTGTGCAAGAATGTATACAAAAAAAAGATAATACTTTTTTTAAAGATAATACATTAAACACATATATACATACATAAGAGGCATCTTATATGGATCAGGGATGATGATGTGCTGTGAACCAAGAAGTCTGATTTACTGTTAGACTTTGTATAACCTTTATATAGTCATTAAAAAATTATTAATACCCCATTCTCCTTCCTTCCTTGATGTAGCATTAAGGTTAGTTTAAAATTATATGTTACTTTTCTCTAGAAGAAAATATTTCGCTGTGCTTTATTTAGGGGAAATCCAGATTTTATTGGAGATATTAATGCCTTTTTGGATAAACATTTCAGAAAAATACTGTTCTCTTTCTAGATGTGTATATATATCTGCTTTCTCCAACTAAGTTATGTACATTCTTTATTAAGTGTACTCTCATGGGGAGGGGGAAAAATGTACCCATCATTCACTCTTCTACAAATGAATGAGCATTGCATGTGGTTTGACTCCATTTCCTTTTGCTTCAAAGAAGTAATCAAGTTAATTCTTGGCCTGGTGCTATCTTCAGTGTGTTTTGAATAATTGAGATCTTTAATGGAAAATTATACAATCTTTTGTCCTAGAAGATTTTACCAGACCTCTTGGCCCCAAAGAAGGTAATCAGACCAAAAATGATTTCTTGGAAGTTGCCTGAGTGAATCCTGTGAATTAAAGGTCTTTTAGGGGCGCACTTACTCATCTTCTATTACTTATTTCCTTGATAACTTCGGTCATTTATTAGAAATTTCGGGTAACTGTTGGAAAGTCTGGATGGGAGATTTCTTCTCCTTTGCAAATGAGAAGCAGCCCTTGGGCATTGATTTAACCAGTTCCACCTTCTCCCAATGTCAAAGACTTGGCTGCTTTTTGTTCCGGGGTTTACATATCAGGCACCCAGAGGATTAGGTGGAAATGACCTTGTCACCCAAGGATATTGAAGGTCACAGAATTGTAGTTGGGGCCTGCTTCCGGGATGGGCAGGTTGGAAGATTGTGTGGGGTGAGCATCTTATCCTTCTCTCTGTCCCTCTCTACAGGGTGAACTGAATTCATCACAGAGCAGAGGGAACCATTCCTGCAGCAGCCTGCATGGTTCAAATAATATTCTCTGCTTCTATGGCATTTTTACAGCTCATGGGGCTCAGTTGCTCTGTTACGGCGAAAGGCCAGGACTCAGGGGGTCGAGCCAAGTTTAAGCATCTTGACACTGACCAGCCATGCTTGCCAAGTGTTTCCTTCTTGTGTCGTTTACTCTTTTTTTTTTTTTTGTAATGCTTTTTTTTCCCCAGCTTTATTGAGAAATAATTGACATGGGTCATTTTTTTTCTTAACAGTTAACCTGTGAGGTCCTGTCCTAAACTGATGACAGGAAAACCCCATCTTTAAAGAGTCAGCCTCCAGTGAAAATTCTTTTAGTAAGATTGGTTTCTATTTTTACTTCTTGACTACATTTTTTGTTTTATAGCCAAATAAAATCAGAAAATATGTTATGATTAAGTATCTTGCTTTCCCTAAAGCAAGACTCAGATTGGTGAGATTGTCTTTCATCCTGGTTAGATTCCATAAATCCCCGCATTTTCCATGGTTGCTCCAGAGAGTCAGCCACCTAGGAAATACCCGCTGATGAGAGTCAGGCTGATACTAACGCTGAAAGGACCAATGGGGTGTCAGTGTTTGGAGGGCATTCTTTTTTTTTTTTTTTAAATTTTTTTATTTATTTACGATAGTCACAGAGAGAGAGAGAGAGAGAGAGGCAGAGACACAGGCAGAGGGAGAAGCAGGCTCCATGCACCGGGAGCCTGACGTGGAATTTGATCCCGGGTCTCCAGGATCGCGCCCTGGGCCAAAGGCAGGCGCCAAACCGCTGCGCCACCCAGGGATCCCCTGGAGGGCATTCTTATCCAAGAAAAAAGACATTTGTACCTTGGTCCTGGTTATGGGTAACCTAAGATAATTCTGTTTTGCTTACAGCTCAGGCCCTTCTATAGGATGGCAAGCCTTTAAAAAAAATATTTTTAAGAGATTGGGATTCCAATAATAAAGAGAAAAACACGAAAAGTACAATAAAACTAGCTTTAGATGATAAAATATGTATCATAGGATTTCATTTAATTAAAAAAAGCCATATTTGTACACAGAGGAAAGATTGGAGGGTTATACATTGAAATACTTTATTTGAGATTTGTTTATTTTTAGAGAGAGCATGCATGCACATGGAGGAGAGGGGCAGAGGGAGAGGGAGAGAGAATCTCAAGCTGACTCTGCTGAGTATGGACCTCCACACGGGACTTGATCTCATGACCCTAAGATCACAACCTGAGCCAAAACCAAGAGTTGGACATTTAATCGACTGAGCCACCCAGGTGCCATACGTTGAAATATTTTTAATAGTTCCATCTGAATAAGAGAATTATGGATAATCTTTATCTTCTTTTGGTTTATATCTGTTTTTTTAGACTGTACATGTAGGTAATAAGATTTTTTTATAGGCATTAATAATAGGGGAAGTGAGAAGGGGTGAGCAGAATGTAGAAAACTACATTTTCTGCTCATTTTTTTGTAAACCTACAACTGCTCTTAAAAACAAAGTGTTATTTTTTTGAAGGCTGTTCAGATAACAGCCTCATGGCCTACAGCCTTTTTAAAAAGTTTTCATTTATTTGAGGGATCCCTGGGTGGCGCAGCGGTTTAGCGCCTGCCTTTGGCCCAGGGCGTGATCCTGGAGACCCGGGATCGAATCCCACGTCGGGCTCTCGGTGCATGGAGCCTGCTTCTCCCTCTGCCTGTGTCTCTGCCTCTCTCTCTCTCTCTCACTGTGTGCCTATCATAAATAAATAAAAAAAAATTAAAAAAAAAAATTATAAAAAAAAAAAAAAATAAATAAAAAGTTTTCATTTATTTGAGAGAGAGGGAGAGAGAGACAATGAGCAAGGAGAGCTGCAGACGGAGAGGAAGAAGCAGGCTCTCCACTGAGCAGGGATCTCGATGTGGGACTCATCCCAGGACATTGGGATCATGACCCAAGATGAAGGCAGATGCTCAACCAACTGAGCCACCCAGGTGCCCTGATCTACGGACTTTTAAAGCTTAGTGCCAAATCTGATGCGTTAGTTTTAGTAAAGGAACCTGGGAAGGGGAAAGTGTTTTATTCTGTTTAGGCTGTTACAACAAAATACTACAGACTAGTAGGTGCTCATCAACAACAGGCATTGATTTCTCAGGCTTCTGGAGGCTAGAATTCCCAAGGTCAGTGTCCCAGCACAACCGGTATCTGGTGAGGACTAGCTTGCTAGTTCACAGATGACCATCTTTTTGGTATCTCCTCACATGGTGGAAGGCGGTAGGGAGCTCCATGGGGACTCTTTTATAGGGACACTAATCCCACTCTCAAGGTCCTTACTCTCATGACCTAATCAACCCAAAGACCCCACCTCCTGACACCATCATGTTGGTCATTAGGATTCCAACAGATGAATTTGGGTGGGGGGGTAGGGGTCACAAATAATCAATAGAAAACCAATCCTGTAAGTGATGGTAAAATATCTATTTATAGGTCAGGTTTCCCCCACAGAATACATGCTCAAGGGCAGAGTGATGCCTTTGTCATCTATTCAGAAGACACACAATAGATGCTTGTTGCATGAATGAACGAATGAGCGCCAAGAACAGAGTAAAGCATTTAATCAAAGACACTCGGCCACATGCATCCTCTCTCTTCTCCCTTGTGTTTCCTTAAAAGCTGTGGGACTTTTCCTAACAAATATAAGAATATGTGTTTAAAGTCATTCCAAGGAAAAATAAGTAGTCATTCCAAGAATAGGAGAACAAGTGGGGGGAGGGGATAAACATAAAAATACACCTATGTAGTCCTTTTAAAACCAAAATACAAAAATTTGCTTTTGAAGTTAATGATATAAATCAGAATCTTGTTTAAAAACATCATTGTAAGGAAGGAATTAAGTCACATATGTTAGGCTCTGAAACTAAATTGGAGTTGTGAATAAAAAGGCAAATAATCCAATTTAAAAATGAGTAAAGGAACTGGTGATCATTTCCTAGGGTGGATATAACGAGTTACCACAAACTAGGTGGCTTAAAACAATAGAAATGTATTCTTTCACACTTCTAGAGGCCGGAAGTCTGAAATCAAGGTGTCAGCAGCGTTGGTTCCTACTGGGGAATCGGAACAGAACCTGTGTCATACCCCTCTCCAAGCTTCTAGTGGTTGCTGGCATTCCTTGGCTCGTACAACATCACTACAATCTCTCTGTGTAGCATTCTGTGTGTGTCTAAATTTCCCTTTTCTTTTTTTTTTAAAGACTTTATTTATTCATGGACAGAGAGCAGAGACATAGGCAGAGGGAGAAGCAGGCTTCATGCAGGGAGCCTGATGTGGGACTCGATCCCAGAGTCCTGGGATTATGCCTTGAGCTAAAGGCAGATGCTCAACCACTGAGCCACCCAAGCGTCCCTAAATTTCCCTTTTCTTATAAAGACACAGTCGGATTAGATTCAGGGTCCACCCTAATCTAGTATGACTTTTCATTAACTTAATCACATCTGCAAAGAGCCTATTTCACATAGGCCACATACACAGGTTCTAAGTTGACATGAATTTGGGGGGGACATTATTCAACCCAACAAAGAGCTGAATAAACATTTCTCCAAAAAAGATATACCAATAGCCTAGAAGTGCATGAAAAGATGCTCCCCATCATTAGTCACCAAGGAAGGGTAAACTACAACCACAATGACATACATTTCATACCCACTAAAATGGCTAAAATTAAAAGATAATGAGCATTGGTGAACTACTGGTGTGAACACAGAATGGTGCAGCTGCTTTGGAAAACTGGGCAGTTCCTCAAAAAGTTAAATGTAGAGTTACCACATGACCTGACGATTCTGCTCCTTGGTATGTGTATCCAAGAGAATTGAAAACATGTACCCACACAAAAATTTACATTAAGTTCATGGCAGCATTATAGATAATCATCAGAAAGTGGGAACATCCCACATCCACCAGTCAGTGAATGAATAAACCAAATATATGTCCATACAATGGCGTATTTTTCAGACACAAACAGGAATAAAGGATTCATTCTATGACATGGATGAACCTTGAAAACCCGCTAAGAAGCCAGACACAAAAGGCCACATGTTATGTGATTCCATTTATAAGAAATGTCTGGAATCACCAAGTCCATAAGACAGAAAGTAGATTAGTGATTGTCCAAGGCTGGGGGGTTGGGGAGAGTGGGGAGTGACTACTTATGGGTACAGGGGTTTTTTTTTTAGGACTGATGAAAAAGTTCTGGAATTTGATACAGGTGATGGTTTGCAATCTTATGAATAAAAATTTACCCTAAGAAAAAGGAATGGAAGGATAAAGTATGAGAGTAAAATTCTCTAAAGTCAGTATTATTTCCTTCTCTGGATCTTTAAGTGTTTAAATAAATGCAATTTGTCAGGAAACCATAATAGAAAGTGGCTTTATGTATCAAAAATTTATGGGAGCTATAAAAATAATGTTCTTTATGGATTCTGATTGTATAGCACGTGCCTCTGAATGTGACCAGGAAGACTCTGACGCTGGCGTTGTCTGTCACTCAGCATCAAGACCATAAAGAAGTTCTGTGGGAATATGGAAGATCTGTGTCAGAACCGTCTATGCCACCAGTGATTTAGGTATATTTGAGAGTTAAGATTCACTCCTCATATCTCACCTTAAAGTTGGATGGTGAAAAATGAAGACCAGATTTTTTAAAAATGCTTATTCACTAGTTTCCTAAAATCTGACCAATTCACCAATTAGTAAAATGCTCTTACCTTTCGAGCTTTTAAAGGTTCATCAATATATTGAAGTAGGTGTGTTTTTGTCTGCTCCTCTCCCATTTCTCTTTTCTGAGGTGAGAAACTTCCTACTTGACCATGGGGTGGGCATGTGACCCAACCTGGCCAATCAGAATGTTCTCCTAAAATGGAACTCCAGAAAGAAGCTCTTCTTCCACCTGAGCTGTTGGCTACCATGTTCTCTACTCTGAGGAGAAGGTCTTTGTGCATTAAGGGATAATGAAGGTCTAGACACTCAAAGAGACATAGAGATAAGGGAAGCAGAGGGATGGAGAGTTCTAATCCTAAATCCTTCTGGCTGCTTCTCCCTGCCCTGTCCACAGTGCAAAGAAAGGCCAAGTCCATACAAGGCAGAGGGCGCAATAAGGCAAATGAGTTCATTTGGCAAATCAAACATATTTTTAAAATCTACTTAACATTAAGTGCTCTGGGAAATATAAACTCCTCTGCCCTGCCAGAGCCTGCAACAGAGCAGGAGAGATGGATCTGCAAATAGCCAGCTGTAGTACAAGACAGAAGCACAGGCTATGGTTCAGGTGCAAACCCAGTACTAGGGCACCCCAAGAAAGGGAACATGACTTTGACTGGGGGCGGGGGTTAGATGGGCTTTCATGGAAGGATGTGGGATCTTGAAGGAAGGCCATTCACGGATGGAAGGGCCAGGAGAGCACAAGGGTGCATTTCTCTGGGAGGAATGGCCCACCTCTGACCCAGCCATGAGGGAGTGCAGGGCAGGTTTGAGGAACAGAAGTTGTCCCCAGGGCTATGGTGATAGATGTGGGAAGGGAGGAATCCAGGTAATGTTGGAAAGGATGGCAGAGCTAGAGAGTGATGTCTGTGGTGGTTTGGGAAAGAGTCAAACAAATGGTCAGATGGTAAGTGTTAGTGAAGTTGAGAAGATGAAGGGCACGCATCCCCTAAAGTCTAGTGCCATCTTGATCTTCAGACTAGAAAGCCTCTTTCTGGTTCAAACTCTACCATAGTACTAACCCATAGTGGATGAGCCTGAAACTCTCGGGACCAGACTATCTGGGTGACCTTGGGCAAACTATAAGTCCTGTCCCAAGTCTGTTTCTTCATCTGTAAAATGCAATAAATACTAGTAATATGCAATAAATACTAGTACCTACATTATAGAATTGTCTAGACAACTAAATAACCCCTAAATGTGACCCATAATTTCAATTTTTATTATTTAACCTTTCTGGTGACCCAAGAAACCATGGTCAAAGGCTGTGTTTCATCAATTCATTCATGGCTCTTTCCTGGACATCTATTAAGTTCAGGGATTTATGCTTGGTGCTCTGAAGGACACAAAGATGAGTAGGTCGTGAGCAGCTCACAGTCCGTCAGGAGAGGAAAAATGACATCTGCTTATCTATAATAAAAGGAAGGGAAAGAGAAGTCCAATTAAGCAGTAAGAGTACCCTGGGAACTGATATTTGAGCTTAGCCTTGAAACGTGAAGTGTGTATAAGGTTCACTGACTATAGGGAATCAAATCAAGTTGTCTTCTCCTTCCAGTGCCAGACAGGACTGGATGTCCTGTGATGTGACAATGACAAGGCTATACTGGTCTGCTAGGGCTGCCAAAATGAAGTACCACATTGGGTGGCTTAAGCAACAGAAATTGATTTCCTCGCCATTCTGGAGTTTAGAAGTCCAAAATCAGGGTTGGTTTCTCCTGAGAGCCTCGTGGTTCAGGATGGATGGCCATCTGCATAGGGTCTCCTCTCTGTGTCCTAATCTTCCCTTCTTATGAGGACACCAATCAGGTTAGATCAGGACCCACCCATGTGACCTCATTTTACTTGAATTACCTCTTCAAAGACCCTGTCTCCAAATAGAGTTACATGAGGTCCTGGGGGTTAGGACTTCAACATACGAATTTGAGGTTGGGGGGGCGGGGCACAATTCAGCCCATAACGAAGGTTGAATGTGGAATGATCAACAGCCTGGTCAAGGGTCACACTGTTTTGTAGCCCACAGGTAAGAGAGACATTCCGTTCCCAGGAAGGTGTAGGGGAGGGGCCGGATGCCATGCCACCCCGGGGCGGGGGGGCTCCCAGCTGAGGGGAATGAGGTACTGAGTAGCAGCAGGGACACCGTGCCTGGAAGGGGAAGGAGTTCTAGAGGTCTGGATCACAGTTTGTGGGCATGTGGTGCTGTCTCTGTGGCCTCAGGCCCCTGGTCTACAGTAGGAGGCTCTCAACCCAGGTCACACCCTGGCAGCCCCTGGGCAGCTGGGGGAAGAAAGTGAACATCTGGCCCTGTCCCGAGAACTGGTTCAGTGGGGCGGCCTTGACATCAGCAGAAGTGCTTCAAAGCACCCAGATGATTCTAAGGGGGCAGCCAGGACTGAGACCCCCTGGGCAAGAGGATGTTCACGTTCCCTTCCAGTCCCAGGCCATGATTCAACCCTAGACTTGGGATCTGGACCCCTGGCTCACCACACTCTCTGGCCTTGGGAATCTCTGGAAATGCTCTCAGTTCATAAAACGTCCATTTGCGATATTAGAGCTACTCCTTCAATGTGCATAGCCCATGACTGTTTGAGGAAGTAACTGAGTGGGCATTAACTCATTCGGTCCTCATCATGCCCCGTGGGTGGCCAGTGGGCAGATAGCGCTCTTCCCACGCCCCTTGGTTCCCCTCCAGAGCACTCGCCACCCTCCAGCCTGCCATACCCGTTGGCTTGTTTTTGTCTTCCCCACATAAGAATGTCAACTTCATCAGGGCAGGGATGACTTACTGTCTCTTTCCTTCGCTGCTGGCACATCGCAGGCCCTCGGTAAAATATTGGTTGAATGAATTAATGAATCATAGAAGAATAAATAAAAGCCCAGAGAGGTTAGAAGATCTGCCTGAGGTCACACAGCAAGTAAACAGTAGCTGATCTGCGTCTTCTCTCTGCGTTCTTTCCACCCTGTTTACTCTTGTTCTGGGTTTCCCAGGGTGACTGTGGTGTGAGAGTGGACCCAGGAGGGCAGATGAGCTAGCTGCCACCAGGAAGAGCTCCTAGAACCCTCGAGATAAAAGCACAGGTTCCTTGCCAAGGTGAGGGACAGCAGCTTCTGATGATGGCCAAAGGCTTAATTTACAGCCTCTCATTTTCATTCTGGGAACAGAAGTTTTGCCTTGTTATTACCAGCAAATGATTTGTGCTAATGCTCTGAATCATGGGGCTTCCCTAAAATGTAGCATCAAAATGAGGAAGCCCAGAGAAATCAGGTGGCTTATGGGGTGGGGTGTGTTACAGACGCCTAGTTCACGCCCATCACTCTCTTCTTTCCTCGCTCTCTATCACCCAATGCTCCCAGAGGTGAGATGGGAATTAACCCGGAAACAGGACAGCAGCTCACAGGAAGGGATGCCTGCCTCTACTGGACCTTGTTAACCTTAAAAATAATGCTGTCAGGACGCCTGGCTGGCTCAGTGGTTGAGCATCTGCCTTTGGCTCAGGTCATGATTCCAGGCTCCTGCGATCGAGTCCCACATCTGCTCCCTGTAGGGAGCCTGCTTCTCCCTCTGTCTATGTCTCTGCCTCTTTCTGTGTGTCTCTCATGAATAAATAAATTAAATCTAAAAAAAAAAATACTGTAAGTTATTTTACCAGCAAAGTAGTTGTATTCAGGAATAGCAGACCAATTGCAACTGACCACATCCCAAAAAAGTCCAACCAGAAGCAAGTCAGGAGAAGAGAGAAGAACCATGTTTTATAGCATGGGGGGGGGGGGATCGTTGAGAGGGGCTGTTACAAACAACAAGCCCATTGGAGGAAACAATGACAATCTCTCATTGGCGGGGCTGTTGCCAGGCCAGGAGACAATCTTCTTTCCTCATGCTGGGGAAGTAAACTACAGGTTTCTTCCTGTTGATTCTACAGCTGAGGACTGTGGTAGGAGAGGAGAGCTACCCCTTCTGGCCTCCCCTCTCCATTTCATGTAAGGTTTCCTTTGCTCAGTTGCACAATGGCATATTTGGGCACTGCACAGCCCACATTTATCATGGGAATAGTCACATGAAAAATCACAGTGTGCCCTGTAGATAATTAAGAACGATGACTTCTAAGTCTTTTGGACTCCACCTCTTGATTGAGAGACAAGGGATTGATTTTGAAATCAATTTTCCTAGGTATGTTTGCTTCCTTTTTTTTTTTTTTTTTTTTACTGGATTAATTAGTGTGGGTTCAGATTTCTCTGGATTCACAATTCTCTGTGCTTTGTCTCCCCCCCCCCCCCGAAATTGCATTCTAATCCTACATGACATTTGTCTGGTTTCCCCAGCAACCATCTCAAAAGCCATAAACTGCAGATTAGGGCTTTGAAGGGAGAAGTGAGAGTTGCACAGTCCTGACTAGGAGGTAAAATCTCAGGTGCTCAGGAGGCTGGTTTGTAGCAATACCTTCTGCTGACAAAGAAAGGATGACTCAGTGCATTTGAGTATTTTCCATGTGGAAAGAGCAGCTTTTTGTTATTTTTAAATCTCCAAGCACCTAAGAATCCCTAGGGTACATCTGAAACAGGGGTGGTTTGTTAGGTAATTTAATAAGCAATTTTCATTGATTTATAAAATTTGTTTAAATATTATGATCTACAGGAAAAAGAACATAGAAGATCACCAGATTTATATCACACCAAATTCCCTTAAAGTCTTTTTTTTTTTTTTTTAAGTAATCTCTACATGCCACATGGGACACAAACTCACAACCTTGAGATCAAGAGTCACACACACCACCAACTAAACCAGCCAGCTGTCCCTCCCTTCAAATCTTTTTTTTTTTTTTTCATGTTTTTTTTTTTTTTTTTAATTTTTTTATGATAGTCACACACACAGAGAGAGAGAGAGAGGCAGAGACACAGGCAGAGGGAGAAGCAGGCTCCATGCATCGGGAGCCCGACGTGGGATTCGATCCCGGGTCTCCAGGATCGCGCCCTGGGCCAAAGGCAGGCGCCAAACCGCTGCGCCACCCAGGGATCCCCCTCCCTTCAAATCTTAATCGGTATATGGACATACATTTTATAGAGTTGTCAGAGTTGGCATGTGCTATTCTCATTCTCTATTTATGGATTCTCTCATGGATAAACACACTCCTGTCTCTTCTACTCTCAATAAACTGCTTTACTTCTGACATTTCTGGTTACCAAAAGTGTCTGTGGGGGTGAGTAGGGGTCCCACACCGAGCAATTCTACAACATTCACTAGGTGTCCTATAATTTAACTCAATTCTGACTCTATCTACCAGGAGTTAGCATCAGTTAACCCACAGGTTAAGGACTCTGTCCCCCAAAACTATCTCCCTCTCCCCACCTTCAGTTGCCAATCATATGTCCAGATTGTTACCTCAGTTTCTAACCAACTGGTATGAATCACAGGTTCCCAAGGTCCCTCCTCAGTTTCAATTAATTTTCTAAAGCTGCTCACAGAATTCAAACAGTTTACTCACTGGGTTACCTGCTTATTACAAAGGATATTAAAAGATAAATGAACAGCCAGGTGAAGAAATATATTGGATGAGGTGTAGAAGGGTCCTGAGCACAGAAACTTCTGTCCCCATGGAGTTTGGAGTGTGACACCTTCCTGGCAGGGGGTGTATCTTTGTTTACCATCCCAGAAGTTCTCCAAACTCGATTCTTTTGGATTTTAACAGAGACTTTATTATACAGACATTGTTGATTAAGTCATTGGCCATTGGTGATTGATTCAGCCTCCAGCCCCTCTTCCCTCCCTGGATGGGGAAGGGCAATAAAGTTCCAACTCTCCAATCACTCGGCTGGTTCTGGCAATCAGCTTTCCTCTTTGTGTGAACCAGAGACTTTCCAAAAATCATTTCATTAACATACATTCAGGTGTGGTTGAAAGGGGCTTGTTATGAATAATAGGAGAAACCCATTTCCCCGTTACTCTGAAGCTATTTCAAAACCCGAGGACAAAGGCCAACTATTAGAACAAAAGATGCCACTATTGCCCTAATCAGGAAAGTATATGGGTTTGGGGAGCTGTGAGCCAGGAACCACAGATAAAAACCAAAATGCACGTATTTCTTATTATAAATCACACTATTACATCCACACATCTCCGTAAATTGCAAAAGCCTGAGTATTTGTATGCCTTGTGCCTCCGTTATGAAGCACACTTGGTTCGGCCATTGCCCCATCACTTGGAATTGTGGTCATTCCTAGATATCACTTGATAATCTTGTTTGCTGTTACCTGCTACCTGTTACCTGTTACCTAGATGCCTGTTCCTGGTGTTCCTGTAAACAAAGCTGTCAGTTATTTTACCAGCAAAACAGGTTTATTCAGGAATAGCAGAGGATTGCAACTCAGGACACGCAAGCTATGGCAAAACCATAGGCAAGTCCAGTGAACAAAGAAGAACAAAGAGGAAAGGGCAGGGAGTTAAGAAGGACTGTTATTAATAAAAAATTCCATTGGAGGAAACTGGGAGTTGTAAGTGTAGTGGCTTTTCACTGGCTGAGTTGTGACAGTCTCTCATTGGCTGGGCTGTTGCCAGACCAGGAGAAAATCTTCCTTCCTCATGCAGAGAAAATAAAGTCCAGGCTTCTCTCTGTGTGGAATGCAAGGTATTGTCTCTTTCTATTGCTTCTGCAACTGATGAGGAGTGGTGGAGGGTGAGAGCTTCCCCTTCTGGCCTTCCGACTCCATTTCAAATGAGATTTCCTTTACCCAGTTTCACTGGTTTGCCCGAGAAATAAATGAAGCCCGTGGTCAGGCAGGTTCTAGACTGGGAGCTGGGGGGACCTCTGCTTTTACCCAGGACATGGGCATGTTGCCTCACTCCCCTGGGCTGAGGCTCTATGGGTGTAAAATCCCAGGGAGACTAGAAGGTCTCCAGGTTGTGTCCAGCTCAGCCAAAAGGACAGTCAGTGATTCTGGTCGTGGAAGCCTCCACTGCTCAGGACACGAGCTGACTCATCAGCAGTCACCCCACGGCCTTCTTTGAATCTTCCTCCCCATCAGCAATTCCTGTCTGCCCGTTTTCCAGAATATATCCCAAATCTGACTACTTCTCCCCACTTCCACGGCCACTCCACCATTCCCCACCGCCCTGCCTCCTGGGCCCCCTTGACCTATTCTTCTCAGCCAGCCAGAGAGGTCTATTAAAAAAACAAAGGTCAGATCAGGTCATTGCCTGTCTTCAAATCCTTCCCTGGCTTTCCATGGTCCTTGAGATGAAGTCCAAACTCCTCACAGCGACCCATGAGACCTCACGAGATCTGATCTCTGCCTGCCTCTGACCTCATCATCCTGTCCACTGTGTCTTCAGCCCCTGCTCAGGTCAACCACATTGGCCTTATGGGCTCTCTGTCCTCCAGGAATGCTCTCCAGCTCCAGTTGCTCCCTGCACCTCCTTGCTCGTCCTTGTTAAAAAAAAAAAAAAAAAAAAAAAAAAGTTAAAATTCAGTGGAGTAATTGTGAAGATCTAATTGGCTTAAGTGATTCATGAGTCACGCTGCATCCCCTCCAGCAAGGAGAGGGGGAACTCTGAGGAGTCATGGAAACAGAAGGTTTCCAAAGGAAAGAGGGTTGGGAAAGGAAATTATTAGCAAAAGAAAAAAAGTATTGTTTCAGGCAAGGCCATTTTCTTGGTGGGGGCAGGGAAGAACAGGGGGTTTTATCAGGCACATTACCTCATCTTCCTTTGAGGGACAGAGAGGACCCCCATGACAGATTTCCTCACTGGTGCTGACCGGGAAATTCCTGATTGACCAGTGAAGACCACATATCTGGAGGGAAACTGCAATTAGGTTAGGTTTAAGGCTGAGTTTGGTGACTTGGCTTAGCGTAAGTGACTCCATCTTGGGCCTGTGTTTTTCTGCCTTCACATCCTTCAGGCCCAGGGTGCGATCCTGGAGACCCGAGATCGAATCCCACGTCGGGCTCCCTGCGTGGAGCCTGCTTCTCCCTCTGCCTGTGTCTCTGCCTCTCTCTCTCTCTCTGCATCTCTATGAATAAATAAATAAAATAAGAAAAGAAAGAAAGAAAAGAAAAGAAGAAAAGAAAGAAAACACGGTGCGCTCAGTTCCCAGCCAACCTTGGGGGGGGGGGTGGACACACCTTGTCAAGGCCTGGACCGCATCGCACCAGGAGCCCAGGGCAACACGGCGCCCCATAACCCAACACTTTCCGGAAATAATCCGAAAACAGAATGAAGAAACATTCTCACGGGTGTGTCGCTGACCTTCTGTGTGACTTGGGGCAGCTCACCTCTGCTTCCCAGGCCTCGGTTTCCCTGTTTATAAAAGGAGAGGGCTTGGGATTCTCCTTAGTCCCCTCCCTCTGTACCTGCTGGCTGAGGCCTCCGTGTGCCGGGGTGGGGGTGGGGTACAGCAGTGAATCCCGCAGCCTCATTAAGGAGAGGGGCCCTGATTGCGCCCCGCAGAGTTCTGACCTCTGCGCCCATCAGGTGGTGACCTGATGACCTGGTGACCCCCAAACCTCCCAATCGGGTTAACGCGATCCCACCTTAAGGACACCCACCTACATCTGGCCTGGGTGTCGCTAAGCTCCCTTCTCCGCTCTGCCCCGGGGTGGGGGTGGGGGGCTGTTGGACCGAGCGCCCCGGAGGTGCCGGCCCCGGAGCCGCGAGAAGGAGCCCGGCCCGGGCGCGGCGCGAGGGCACCACGGGGAGGCGCCGCACCCCAGCGCCCCGCCCCCGGCGCCCCCGGAGCGCCCCCGCGGGCCCGGAGGGGCGAGCGCCGCGGGTCCCCAGGATCACCTGCGCGGGGCGGGCGGGCGGGGCCGGGGGCGGGGTCCCCCGCGGGCGGGGCGGGGCGGCCGCCGTGGCGCCGGCGGGAGGGCGGGAGGGCGCGCGGGCGGCGGCGCGGGGCGGGCGGCTGGCGCGGCAGGTAAGGGGCTCCCGGGACTGCGCGGAGCGCGGGCGGCCCGGCTCGGGCGCGGGGGCTCGCGGTCCACCTGCGGGCCGCGCTCGGCGGAGGAGAGCCCGGGGCTGGCGGCGGGGGCTCTGGTTGCAGGAAGGGCCCGGGGTGTGCGCGTGACGGCGGCGATCAGAGCCGGTGGGAGAAAGTTGCGCGTCTCCCGTGGGTGCTGCCGAGGGGGCCGCGGAGGGGGCCGCGTAAGGGTGCCCTGGGCGCCAGACAAGCTCAGCGGAGCGCGGAGAAGCGCCCTTAGCACCCACCTGCATTGGGTGATACTGATATTCCGGGCATCCAGAAGGCAGGTCATCCCCTTGTCGCGCCCCCCACCCCATCCCCTTGTCGCGCCCGGGTCGGAGAGCCTGAGACTGCCCCGGAAGAAAGGAGGGGGAGCTGACCTGGCCAGCCAGGAGGTGGAAAGGACCTCTGTCTGCTTCATCTGTTTCATCTGTGAAATGGGTGTGTTGATGCGTGGGCCCAGGCGGGGCCTCTCGGGGAGGAAGAGCTGTGATTCTAGGAGTTGGAAACCCACGCCAGGGGGAGGAACCCAGGGTTCAGGTTCAGATCAGCAAATTGAGTAGACGCGTTGGAGCAGCTGCAGGTGGCTCCCGAACAAGCTGCTCCAGAGGAAAGGCGCAGGGACAGCTACTATTCTGCGGTCTCGGTACCCTAGTGGGACAGGAGAGGGAAGTGTCACATACTCACAGGGCTCCTTTAGAGGGACCAAGGAAGTCCTCTAGTCTGGGAGGAGGATCTGGAAAGCTTCTTGGAGGAGATGGGATTGAGTAGAGCTGGGAAAGAAAGCACAGTGCTTAAGGGCCAGTGCTCTGGCATTAGTCAACCTGGGCGTTGGAATCCTTGCCTTGCCCCTTAGCCCGTGGCTAACTTAGCCTTGGGCAAAAACTTTTGTTCCTCTATGGTTCGGTTGGATGTACTCTCTAAATGAAGTAGTTTCTCTGAAAGATTAAGTCAGATAATCCATACAAAGTACTTAGTACAGAGTCTGTATAGTGGGCACTCAACAAACATAAACTACTGATTTCCACTGGACTGGACGGAGCTCCTTATGGGCAGGGACAACGTTCGCCATCATCTCCCCAGCACTGGTGTGGGGCCTGGTGTATAGTAGGTCTCACTACATACCTGTTGGATGAATATGAATAAATGATAAATGAGTATGTAGTCAACAAGCAGCCAGTTTAGAGATGGCCAGATCCTAACAGATGGGTATGCATGTAGAAGACTGTGGTCTAGGTGGATGAAACAGTGTAAACATGAGCCCCAAGTATCAGATCAGGGGTACCGTCCTCGTATGGGGAGGAAGGGTAACATGATAAGCATATCCAGAGCTACAGAGGTAGGGAAGGGCCCTCAAAATCCTGGAATCTTGAATCCCAGCAGCCACACGGGAGTAGGTGCAGGAGCTGGAAGCCTAGGTAGGTCAAATACCTTTCTCATGTCCTCTAAGTGGCCATCTCAAAGTTACATGTGTAAGGGGAGGAAGGGGTGACAAGAGACCCCAAAGGATCATGGGTACCTGATGGGAGCAGAAAAGGGAAAGGAGCCCCAGAACCCCTTCATGGGGGTGGGGCATCCCTCACCGTGTCCCTGCTGCTCTCCGTGTGGGCTCACAGTGACATGGCCCAAGGGGGCAACATGGTGCCAACGAGCCAACCACTGGGTGTGTGTGATGACCCAGTGAACGAGGTCGGAGGAGCGTGCCACCCCATTCGGGGACTCTGCTATGGGAGTGTCCTATCAACAGCCCATCCCTGTGGCTAGCTCCTGCGCTCCTATCCCACCACGGAGTGTGGCCCCTCCAGCCTCAGGCCAGGGGGGAGCCGTGTCTTGGGGGGTTGAGCCATCGTCTAAACAGAGTGAGGGGCCTCCTCTGTTCTGCAGCCCTGGAAAGGCAGTGTTGGGTCGCTCCCGCCCTGGTGTGACCAGGATGATGTGAGAAGCAGGGGTCTGAGGTGGAGGCGAGGGGTTGGGGGAACACGCCCCCAGGAGACAGGACACACTGTACCCCCCAAAAGAGCCAGGTTCAGAGTTTCTCCTCGCAGCACTTTCCACAATCGTTCATAATCGTTTAATTTGCCACTTGCCCTTGATAAATGGGTGCCTCAGAGACCCGTGGGGCTCCGAAGAGCAAAGCAACATCCACACTGATCCCCATCCTACTGCTTCTGGGATGCAGGATACTGATGTTTAAGGGCGACAGGGAGGTGCCAAGGGCACCCTTTGTTTGGAGGTGCGGAAGCAGGGGGGAGATGTGCTCAGCCAGGGAGCGTTAGGTGGGGGGCCCTGAGTTTCCTGATCCCAAGGGCTCTGGCTCTACAGCAGGCTCCGCTAAACCCTCTGGGAACTGAAGATGCTGCCACATTTGCCCTTAATTTCCCGATCTTCCAATAAAAGGGGATGAAAAGTTAGAAAAAGAAAGTCAAAGTGGATGTTAAGTTGCCCAATGAAAGCTTTTAATTAAAAAAGAAACCCTCACGCAGGATGATGAGAAAGAAGGACTGTTACCTCTGTTCACTTTTTTTTTTAAAGATTTTATTTATTTATTCATGAGAGACACACAGAGAGAGGCAGAGACACAGGGAGAGGGAGAAGCAGGCTCCATGCAGGGAGCCCGACGGGACTCGATCCCGGGTCTCTAGGATCACGCCCTGGGCCGAAGGCAGGTGCTAAACCGCTGAACCCCCTGGGGGGTCTGTCACTTTATTTTTTTTAAAGAGGTAAAGAAAAATCATCAGCCCAGGGACCTCTCTAACCTCAGGCCGAAACCTCGCTGTCCGAAGTGCTGGGCCAAGATGCGCGCTCCGCAGGCTGGTCCCACTCTTTGCTTTGGGGTCTGGCAGGACGCGTCCCTCTGTTTTCCCTCCGGCAGGTTCCTTATGGGAAGGACGGATCCTAGGCAGGAAGAAAGGAGGGGCCGAGCCAAGGCGAGAGCCAGTGGCTGTGGATTCCTGAGCGGGCCGGGTGTAGGTAAAGCGGGGGGCTGTGGCCGCAGGGCTGGAACTTCTCCTGTGGTTTGAGCCTCCCCCGGGGCGGGGTGGTGGCTGCAGTTTGGCCTAAGGAAGGAAAGGAGGGTGTGCCAATCTCTAAGACAGAGAGGCCTGTTCTTCAGCCAGCTTAGAGGCCTGTCTGAGGGGCCTCCTGCCGGGGCTGGCCACTCCTGAGCCGTCGGGGTCCGGGGGATTGGGGGGGTTGCCAGGTCCCCCGGTAGCTGCTGGGGCCTTGAGGAGGTGGAGCAGGTGGGGTGAGACCCCAAGGCCAGCACACCCGGCCCCAGGGCGGCCCCGGGCAGCGGTCAGCAGCAAGCCTAGGCAAGGAGCAAGGACTTGGGCCTGTGCTTTGGGGTCTTGTTCAAGGTGTGACACCTCCCTGGGCCTCAGTTTCCTGATGTGATAGGATTCTAGCCACAGCAATCACTTAATAGCTATTAGTCTCCCTTCCCCTCTAGAGAAGCTTGCGTCTTCGGAACTGTTGAGCTGACCCTTCATGCAAACACAGCCTCAGAATTTTTTTTTTTAAGATTTTATTTATTCATGAAATAGAGAGAGAGAGAGAGAGAGAGAGAGAGGCAGAGACACAGGCAGAGGGAGAAGCAGGCTCCATGCAGGGACCCCGATGTGGGACTCGATCCCGGGGCCCCAGGATCACGCCCCAAGCTGAAGGCGGCGCTAAACTGCTGAGCCACCCCAGTTGCCCAGCCTCAGAATTTTTAAATTCCTCCACAATTCACACCGCATTCCTTCCTTCACTCGTTCACCCCCTCTGCTTCTCTGGGGCTCACACCTGCTCCCAGCCCGCACTGCAGGATTCACACACAGCCCTCCGTGTGCCTGGCTGCTTGCAGACCTCCCAGCACAGCACAGCACAGCACAGCGGCCTGGCCCTGAAGCTGCCATCTGTTGCTGCACCTGGAGTTATCTCTTCAGCCTGTCGTGCACCTTGCTTCCCCGCCGCCCTACCTCATCCTATTATCCTCCCAACAGATTTCCTCAGGCTACAGCCTGCAGGTCAGGGAGGGAAACAAAGGTTCACTCCTGTTGGCTGGGCGCCTGCTGGTGTCCGCAGGGCCTGGAACACCCACAGCATCCCAGGAAGCGAGGGGTAGGATGCCCTTGTTCCTACCGAGGTTCAGAGACAGAAGCAGCTTGCTGGGTGCCACAGAGGTAACCAGGGATACATTCTGACTTCCCCGGGCCCCAGGCAATTTTGCCTTCAGAGGCCCCTTTCTCCATAAAAAAAAATGTTACAAGATGTATCTATGACTGCATTGGTATATTAAAGCATTTTCTCTGGGGCGCCTGGGTGGCTCAGTCGGTTGAGCATCCGCTCTTGGTTTCGGCTCAGGTCCTGATCTCAGAGTCGGGAGATGGAGCCCTTCGTGGGGCCCCACACTCAGCAGGTGTCTGCTCAAGATTCCCTCCCTTTCCGTCTGTCCCTTCCCTGCTTGTGCTTACGCTCTCTCTCCCTCAAAAAAATAAATAGGTCCTTTTTAAAGAAAGCATTGTTTTTCCAACCTGAAAGTTCCTCTTTTCTTCTGATCTTGAAAGAAATGAAAACATTTTTCTGGGGCCCTGGGCGCTTTGTCTTCTGCGCCCCATGGCAGCGTGGGCCCTGGAGCTTACAGTTAGGCTGGGATTCCAGTGGAAGCTTGTCTCTGTGGGACTCTAACCTCCTCACTGTACTGCTCTTTAGCAATTAAAAAAAAGAGCAAGCAAAGAATGGGGGGGGTCGGTTATCTGAAATCTTACCTCTTGGAGCAGCATTAAT